TATATATTACAAGTCCTATGAACTTTACAAAATTAAACAGATCCTAAAAACAATCTTAGTATAATATTTATCACATGCAATCCTACAAGTTTAGCTAGTATAAACACACAACCCATAACCTAATCAAGACAAACGAAATGGAATTTATATAGAAAATAATTTTTCACTTTTACCATTGTCCGCCCTCCCCCCCCCCCCCCTGAAAATATTAAGTGCGCCTTCCCCCCCCCCCCCCCCCCCCCGGAGAAAAAAGTCTTAAAGAAACACTGATTGCCGTCGACTATATCAGCTATGAGTGACGTATTTTTTGTAACGCCAGCATTTTAAAGTCAATTATAAATATTTAATTAAAAAAAAAATTTCTACTCAAAATCAAACAGCTACAATTAGGGTCCTTAATTGAAATTACTCTAAACATAAACCCTTAGATCAGTTCAATAAAACCGCTAACATGTTTACGTATATTAAAAAAATTTGAAGATGACAATAACATCGGGGTTCTCATATTTCATTCTCAATGAACACACCCCATCTCGGGCAAATAGTTAATCAGCATGTCAAGGGAAACAACAAGTAAATTAAGTTTATTAAAACCTTTACCTCCCATTAGTTAACATTTTTTTTTAAAATAATTTATTAAGCCTCATCCATTTTTTAAAGTAAATTTTTGTCCTGTTCATTCTCAAGTTTGCGGCGTTATAATTTATAAACACACAAAAGTCGAATCCCAGACTTTCTGTTTTGGTTAGCCTGTCATGCAGTAGACAGCGGCCATTTTGTTTGTTTTGACTGGTGTCAACCGATCACGCCATTGTGTCTGGTCCAACTCGGGTCAGCTCAGTGTTGGCCTATGTCAGCGCATCACGCCACACACCCAGTCTAGACTGCTGATGTTATGTGTATGATATGGCGGGGTCAGAAGGGTCAAGGTCTTTGGCTAGATATTATTTTATCAGTACAATAACAATATGTTTACTGCTGAAAAAAATTCACTACTTTAAACAATGGTGTGAGCTTAATTTTAAAATGCTCGACTTTTAAGTTTTAAAAGCTCTTTTCGCTTAGAACTGATGGTATCCATATGATATTTTGTCACTTCCACTACATGCGGTTTTTTTAATTATTGCACGCCAATCTATATTTACAACAAAAAAAAAAGAAAACACATAAATACTACTTATTGGGACTTGTCCTCAACTTTAAAAAATGAAACTGTCACCGCTGTACAAGATAAATGTGTACATCGTTTTCTTGGTTGATGGTCATTTGGTGGGCGGTATGCAGTTTTAACTAAGCAGCTCAGTTGACCTTATGGCAGATGTACAGTAATGTAGATTGTAGATTGAACGTGGGCAAATCTCAGCCAGCGTTGTTAGTCTTTGGGGCACGTGGAATTTTCGGGGGGGGGGGGGGGGAGGGGAGGGGCGGACACTGTTAAAAGTGGTGGTGATGGGTTGAAGGGTGTTAGTGGTGGTGGTCGTGCTGAGTTAAAGTGTCTGTGGTGGTGGGTCAAATGGTGACTGTTGTTGGAGCATTATCGTAAAGAACGAATAAATAAACGTGAAGAGTAATACAGGTTTTAAACGGTATATAGTGGACACTCTGGAACCAGCTGGATGACCTGGACTTTCTGACACACAACAGCAAAGGCTAGATAAAACTAAAAGTGTTGCTAATTTTTCGACATGCTGGGCCTAAACATCCACAGAAGGAAAAGTAAATGCATCAAACAGCAACCCTATAACATTGTCAGGCGAAGCCCTAGAAGTAGTGGAAAGATTCACCTACCCTCGAAGTTGATAAGCAGGGCGGGACAGAAAGAGACATAAAAATAAGGATGGGCAAGAGCAGTCTTCAACCAACTAAAAATATTTGGGGTTCTGGAGATTTAACCCTTAGAATAAAAATCTTCAACACGCCAGTAAAGCCTGTTTTACTTTAAGGAGCTGAGACATTGAGAATAACTGCTATAAATAAGAAGAAAATACAATCATTTATAAACGTATGCCTCGGAAATGAGGTTCGATGGCAACGTAGAAATCAACTGCCAGCTGAAGAAGAGATCCTCCAGAGAAAATGGACTGGCCACGCGCTCAGGAAGCCTGTATCCAACACAACAAGACAAGCCCTCACCTGGAATCTACAGGGCAAAAAGAAAAGAGACAGACCAAGAAAGACCTGGAGACGTGACCTGGATTAAGACACCAAGAAGATTGGATACACCTGGGGACAGTTTGAGAGACTAGCCCAGGACAGAGATGCCTGGAAAGCTCTTGTCAGCGGCCTATGTTCCAGTAGTGACGACAGGCAAACCTAACCTAACTTAAAACAGGTTTTCAATAGGCAGCACAAACTAGCCCAGGTGTAATTAATTGTCATTGTAATTTAGATATCATCAAGCTAATTATCAACACTGATTTGTCTTATTGTCTCACGCATGCGTGTATTAATTTCATTACGTGTGTCATTAAGGCGGAATAAATGATGAGACAACAATAATATTAATTACCATAATTGATAGCAGTGGTTTCTTTTAATAAGAAGCCCCCTCCCCCCCCCCCCCACCTTTCCCTTTCAGTGTTTCTTCCCGACTTTTTTCTCCAGGGGGCACTTGAAATTTTCGGGGGGGGGGGGGGGCGGTAGACTTTCTTGGGGGGGGGGGGGGGCGGACACTGTTAAAAGTATATATTTTCTATATAAATTTCATTTCGGGGGGGCGAGCGATAGAATTTTTCGGGGGGGGGGGGGCCTCCCCCCCGAAGAGATGCCTGGAAGAAACTCTGTTCCCTTTTAGAAACAACTAAAAGGGGTTTTTTTAGCGCAATTTCCATTCTGGAGAATTGCGTTTATTAACTCGTCATTTCTGGGAATGGATGGATGAATGGATGAATGAATGAATGAATGTATGGATGAATGTGTGTCCGGGCTTTAAGTCGTATCTCCTCCTCAACGAAGCAATATCGATGACTAGTTCCAAAAGCAATTATGTTAAGCAATTTACGAGAATGAACATAGGCCATAAAAATTCCGGGTTTCTTTCATGGATTTCCCGGAAAAGCCAAAAAACCTCGAAAAAAAGCAGTTTTTGGCCCATATCTCGGCAACCAGACCACTTAGCGACTTGAAACATGTACCAATCGATTTCTGCCATAATTTAGAACAATATTGCCGAAGAAAGTTTTCAAAAATATCCTTTCGTTCGGTCACAAAAAAAATTTTTAATTAATTAAAATTTGGACCGAATTAGTAGGCATTTTTTCCAACCACACCACACGCGTCATCACGTTCAATAGCTGCGCCATCACGTTCAATGGCTGCGTCATCACGTTCGGTAGCTAGGCGCGCAATGGTTTTTAGTCATGTAACTCTATTGTAAATAAAACATGTAAAATACTGAAATAAAAATTAATAAAAAACGTTTTAATAACTAACCAATGGTTTTACTAACCCTGCTCTTGATTTACGCTACGCTACGACAGAGCTATTTTTAGATAACATAAGGAAATTGCGCTAAAATTGTCACTAGAATTTTTTAATTACTTGTTTTTCGTAAGAATAGACAATGTCTTAAAATCTTGACACTTTAGCCTTACATGCAGAACCGCAGGCTGACTTATAGTTGGACAGACAGACAGGCAGGCAGACCCACAGGCAGGCAGAGGTTGTCAGGTAGGTTAAAATGTGTAACAATTCTCCAGCTCCAGTGACGCCTGCTCGTAGAGTCGAAGCAGGTGCAGCCAGGCGTGGTGCTGGTGTAACTAGTCGAGCATGTCCACACAATTGTTTTTATAGTGGGGTTAATTAAGCACATACTGGAGCTGGTGGTGTACAGAGACAGATATACAAACACAGATACACATGCATATACACAAACACATACAGATACACATGCAAACAAATATACAAATACATACAGATACACAAATCCGTAGATGCACATGCAAATACACAAATAGATACATAGACATTTCCAAACACATACATATACATATAGACAGATACAGTGACATATACATGCACACCGGCGTATTCAAAAAGATATACAGACACAGACAGGCACAGAGACAGGTACACAGACATGTAGGCCACACTGGAGCAGTCGACTTATTTGTGCAGCCCAGTGATAACACAAACACGCAGTCGTCGGCCAGCGATAACCTGCATGATAACGAAACGATAACAATCATCGTACGATCGCCTGTATCAAAGGAATAAGATCTGGGTCACGTCAACAAAATTCACCTGAGATTGTCACATGTGACAGGTGCATCAAAACATTGTTTGAAATAACGGGCACTTGGAGCAGGGGAGGCACGAGGGGGTGTTGGGGGGGGGGGGGGGGGGTATTGATATGCACAGCCTACCAGCAGGGGTGGACTGGACCTCCGGTCTACACAAAAAAAAAAAAAAAAAAAACATCCCGGTGGGCCCCCAGGAAAAAAAATCTCAATGGGCACCCTCAGAAACGGTGCTATAGTATTAGTGTTTTGATTTTGATTTTTTTTAATTGTTGGAATTTTTACAATGGTACCATCCATTCCGTCATACCATGGCGTAAAATTCAACCTTGACGGGGGAAAATGCATAATAAAAATATCAACTTGGGGGGGGGGGGGGGGGGGTTAAATTTCCTTTTCTAAATGACGTAATTTACCCTAGAGCGGGAGAGAGAGGGGATTATGGTGCAGACTATAGTGATGATGAGCTACGTATTAACACTCAGAGATCGTTTTTTGTGGCAGCATTCGATATGTGAAAATTTTAAAAAGCTGAAAACGTGTAGGGGGAGGTCGTTGTCAATAATAGTATTTATCATTATCAACATCAATCATACATCCTTTTTAAAACATATGGTCATAATGTATAAATGGAGTAAATTTTATTTATAAACAGATCAACTAAATATTGGTATCAAGGGACTTAACAACAAGAAATAGTATTTTTCAAAAGTGTGTTGTAATTTTCTCCCTTGACAAATAAAGAAAATGTTCTGTCCAGGAAAGATTTGTACATTATAATAATAATAAAAATTCAAAACTAAAGAAAACGTGGAATATAAATCATCATTGTTATATAGATCAATTAAGTCCACAGATTAAATAAATGTAGACCTACTCGCTTAGACTAGATATTCATGTTTTTATTGGGTCCAGATATTGAAAGTCGAACTTTAGAAATAGCTCATCAAACTATTGTTTTTTTTTTTTTATAACAGAATTTAAAATCAGGAATTGACATGGAAATAGAAATAAGTAGGCTATAAGCTTTTAATTTTTAATGCACTAAATTTTTGGGGTGAAATTTTGGACGGAGAAGACAGGGAACATCTGAATGGAAGGAGGTGGTGAAGTTGGTTAAAGCTGTCCGTGGACTGAGCCACAGGGTTGGGTGGGATAAACTCAAATTAAGAACATTGTGAAAAATTCTATAATTGTAGTAGTACAGTCACCGGTATGGGACGGCGTGGCTTAGCGAAAGATCGCTCAACTGCTCAAAGTCTCGAGTTCGAATCCGGTTCAAGTCAAGTTAGGGAAAGTAAAGGTGGCTGACCGCACTATCCGTGCAAATGCTGAATTCGCAGAAACAGGTGAACTCTACTTCACTTGCCCCATGGACAGCAAGATTCTAAAAGGGAACTTTAACTTACAGGGGGGTCGGTCGCTAAATTGCTTTTGCTATTTAGGTAGTAAGACGGGGAGGGGGGGGGGGTCTTTTGTCTAGGGTCCCTTTTCTCGCGTAGTCCATACTTCAACCTAAACCACGCATTAGTTCATAAGAGCTGAAGTCGGACTTGGCATTAATTGCCTGCCCGTCATACCCTATCCATGTAATTAACCTGTATTCTAAATAGCCGAGACAAATTAATTTTTGGTTAAAAAAAGCTTGCCGGTTCATTAAGACACTGCTGAGATTTAATTAAGGAGAATTTTGAACCACCTCTTAACCAATTTGCTCATTAACGTCTTCAGCGTTTCCGCCATGACCGATAGCCCTCGACAGCTGATCCCAGAACACCTGGATCGTCTCCACGTTGGCGAACTCTTCAGGCGGGAACTCCGTGATGTCGTTTCGTTTCATGACAGCCAGCAGCGGAAGTGGGATGGCGTCGTCGTTCAGCGGGCGGTACACACAAAGGTGAAGGACGCGCCTGCGGCTGTGCGCCTCCTTCTCTGACGCCATGTTCAGGGCGTACTCGGTGTACGTCTCCGCGAAGAACTCCGGCGAGATGACCGGTACCGTCTTGAAGCTGTGCTGCACGGCGCTGACAATGTCCGACACGACCAAAGAACCCGGCATGAAGTTCCGTTCCTCGAAGCAGATTTTGTGACCTCGTTTTTCCTCCAGCTCGCGCGTGCACTCGTGCATCACGAATTCACGTGTCTCGTCTGAATAAATTAGATACGCGTCGAACTTGTAGTCGAGATCTGCGGTCTTCGACGGTTCGAACCCGATCAGCTTGACCAGGGTGATTGCCCAGAGGTACCTCAGCCTCCACCGGAAGCGGTACGCCAAAGCCAGCAGCAGAAATGTAACAGACGTCGATGTGAATACAACGCTAACGACGATGGCGAGTGTTTTGGGGGCGCATTGATGTTGGAGCGCTTTCAGTCGCAGACTGACGTCACCTATACTCACCATCTCTCCCGAGTCTCGATGGCAGAAGAGATTACGTGTGTTTAAAAACACGGCTTTAGTGTTAGACATCCAGTGGAGGAAATCTATCCCTGAGCATGTACAAGGTAGAGGGTTGTGACTCAGGTCAATAAAAAATGCCCGGTTTTGGGACAGTTCATCAAATTCATTCCTCACTTCCTCGCTGATCCACGAAATAGAATTCCGGCTTAAATCAACATATGTTAGTTTCTTCATGGTTGAAAAACTACAATTTAGAACCTGAATTTTGTTGTCGGAAAGTATTAATACCTCGATGTTCGTCAGGCCTTTAAAGAACATTTTAGGCAGCGCGTAGATTAAGTTTCTGCGCATGTCCAAGTGTCGCACGTGCCTTGTGTGCTCAAAAATCGATCCGGTGACGTCTTCGGCGAAACCCGGACCCAGGAAGTTGTCGTGGATGTCCAGGTAACTCAACGAGTTGTTTTTCTGGAAAAAGTTGACTTTAATTTTCGTGCAGTAATTGTTATACAGCCGGGCCCGGCGAATTCCGGACGGGAGGACTCCGGATCCCCACAACGACAAAAAACTGTTTGACACGTCGATATCTTCCGGTCCAGGTTTTTCTTTGTCTAGGATGAGCATTCCGAACGAATTGAAATGAGTGGCTTTGATGATTTTAAGACTCTTCGGAAATATCGGTCCATTGGTGGTTGTTTCACCGTCTGCTTCAGTAAACTGGTTACACGAACGTTGATTCGCGCCGGAAATGTTAACAGATATCGTGGGTTGGATATCGCGCATGCGCGAACAAGCAGCCAATCGTTTCGTGGATTGGGACTCGGACGACACTTTGCAATGTTGTTTTCCCCAGCGCGGGGCGAAGTCCTTGAAATAGTTTTGCTGAGAGACGTCCAGTTCGTGGAGATGCTTCAGATTTACGAAGACGAACGACAGCTGTCGGAAAGTGAAACGGTTATTGGCCAGTACAAGTTTCCGTATTGTCACGGGCAGAGAATTAGTGAAGTCCCCCGTCAGCAAAGCTAGGCGGTTGTCGGTCAGGTCTAGTTCCTCCAACGGAAAATTCCGCAGGTAAACGGCTTGACTTCCGTTCAAAAAACGACACGGGTACGACGAGTGGTACAGGTGGATGAAGCTCAGACTTCTCAGCGAGGAGTTATGTAAATACTTTAAGTCATCTAAAGCCGTGACGAGGTCGTAGTTCGCCATGTAGGTCAAGGACAGACGGGTGAGGTTAACCAACTCGTACGCGTCCTCCTCCACCCTCGCCAGGTCGCAGTGGTACATCTCCAGGGATTTCAAAAAAGGAAGATTGGTGAAAAAAGATTTGGTGAGGCTTTTAATAGCACATCGGGAGCTCAATCCGAGTTTGAGCTCCGTTAAGTTCGTCAGTGTCTTCACTTCCGGTCCAAAAATAGCCTGACGCGGAAGTCCATCGGCGCTAAGCATTTCCAAGTTTTTCAACTCTCCGAGCATTTTGTTGGGGTAGTCGACCTCTTCCGACCGAGACGACCCGTGTATAAAAAGCTGACGAAGTCCTTGTAACGGAGCGAACACCCAAGGAAACATCCGCTTGTAACCTAAGTTTACGTTACAACTTATATCTAAAATTTGAAGATTTTTTAACTGCTCGAACGCGCCGGGTTCAATAAATTGGATTTGATTCGCAGACACGATTAAAACGTTTAAGTTAACTAGACCAGCGAAGGTGAAGTTGGTGATGTTACTGAGCATGTTGCCGCGCAGGTTTAAGCTGCGGAGCCTGGTCATGAGCGCGAGGCTGTTGTCTTCTACCGCCGTGATGTGATTCGTCTGTAGATCCAGCTCAGCGAGGGACACGCTCTTGGCTCGCGTGACGTAGGCGATTCTCGTCAACTTTCGGTTATGGTTGATGACAAGTCGTGACAGGAATCGATACCGCTGAATGTTTGTGACGTTGAAGACGGCCATGTTGTTGAGCGACATGTCGAGGGTGGTGATGTTCTGAGGCAGACCTTGAGGGATGGTTTTCAATCTCGTTGAAGTACAGTTGGCAAAGGTCAACACTTGTTTTAAGCAGACGCAAGGCGGACACAGAAATGTGTCACGTGGTGGGAGCATGGTAACGTGATCCGATGACGTTTTCTCCACACGTGTGTAGTCGTCAGACTCCGCCATACTTTCCTCCACTTGGTAATCAGTACTCATGTAATCCCTAGTATCGATACCGCTATCGTATCGATGACCATCCATTTTGTTTACTTCGCCTGCCCAAGCAGTGTCGTCTAGGTCAAGCTCTACGTCATTTCCTCCGGAAGTCAAGTTGTTCTGCCCAACTTTCTCAGAAACAACTGTCAGTTTTTGGTCGGTGAATTTGTGACACTCAACACAGAACTGACACTGACAGCACAAGACGACCAGCGCAACAGCTTGAAAGAAACCAGACTTCATTCTGTTGCCGAAAAAAGAAACATCAATATATTTGTTGGCCATAATATAAATGTAAAAAGAAATACAAATTAATCGCATGCTAAGCGAAAAGAATAAAACATGCGCAGACAATTTTTAAAAATTAAACAATTTACCACAAATTAAATACATATTACAATTGACCGACGACTAGTAATGAATGCTTTAGTTATACTTCCTATTCTTAGTAATACAATATCTTCCGAAGGATAGTAAAGAGCTACTTAAGAAATTATTGCGACTCACTTTTTCTTTGAAAGTTTGATTAGTAGAAACCACGTGCTAAAATCACTTTAAACACTTTAAATGGGGTGATGATGAAAGTACATTACACTTTTGCATTTAGCCATATGTTGTTGTTTTTCCCATCAATCTACCTACCCGAATATGAAAACAACAACCATATATATATATATATATATATATATATATATATATATATATATATATATATATATATAAAGCTTTCCCAGAGCCTGATTGTTCGAACTCCGGATTTTATAAAAATATGCACAACAAATTTTAAAAGTTTTCTTTTCCTTAATAATTTTATATTGTGCAAAATTGGTAAGAGATATGGCAAAATATTTTTACCTTCATATTTTGGTGGATTTAAAAAAAAAAATAATGCATTAACTTCTAAATACGCGTTAAAAAAATGGAGTCTATGGCCTCGTTCCCAAACTCATAGAAGGCTGTCCGATTACGACGTCACCACATAGATCTAGTAAACATCACAAGTTAATAAACAGATCATAAACCCAATTGGTACATCTAGAATGTTGTCAATGTAGACTACAAGCCCCTAGTAACTTCAAACCTGGCTAACATCGTGATGTTGTTACCGGAGTTACATCGGGATGTTGGCGTTTACCAAATGCGTCAAAAGCAGAGGCAATTTGAAACCTATTATTTTTTTACCCATTCCCCCCCCCCCCCCTCTCCCTAGTTTTCAGCACACGCCTTAGAAACTGTTGTTTACTTAAAGTGTTCTTTTAAAATTGTTTCCCTTTCAGTCATATGTCGTGTTCCCCTCTCTGTAACAGTTCAATGTATGACACGATATTGTATATATATATATATATATATATATATATATATATATATATATATATATATATATATATATATATATACAGAGAGAGAGAGAGAGACAGAGAGAGAGTGATACATGTATACATGTACATATAAGTATATACATGCATGCAGTTCAGTATAAATATGTATATATACATATATAAATATACATAAATACACATATACATTATACATACACATACACACATATATATATATGTGTATATATATATATATATATATATATATATATATATATATATATATATATAAAAGGCCTATAATAAAAGATGTATAGATTTATAACTCACCTCACAGTACTACCTTACGAGGTACACATCACTAATTATGTGCTAATGGCATGATTGTAGATGCCACCTCCATCCCACTAAGATGAGACCTCTCAATGGAGCCAGGGGACATAATTTAGATTACTTCCCCTGGAAAACCAAACCTGATAATTTTATAATGTGTATATCTTTCTGAGAAGCGACTGATAAAGTATTTTTTTTTACCCCCCAGTGATAAGCTGTACAAATACATTGCGAGAGGACGATGTAGCCTTGCGTTTCCCCAAGGTTGGTGATAAGGGTTTAAATATATCAACCTATGGATTAACACTGTAAATAATTGAGCTTTAGCTTCCTCGTGTAATAATCCAGTATAGATACTACTGTAGGTTCTCTTTACGCTCAGTCTGATCATTGGAAGAATCGCTAGTCTTATTTGGCTATAGCACAGCATAGCACTAAACTTAAAGTGAATGTCATTCCTAGTAGCTTCCCTTGCTATTAAATAATAATCATTAAAAAAGTTTTTAAAACCCCACGTTTTCTGATTGAACTAAAAAGTAGAAAATAAATGCTATACATCACAATAATGCAAGCGATCACTCTACTATAAGCGATGAAAAACGTGGGTTAGGGTTAGTAAAAGTTTTTTATCGGTCATTGTTAATATAAGATGTAAAAGTTATATTACTATTGATTAGATAATACTATTGACTTTTATTAGGGAGCTTGTAGAGAGTCAACAGTATTAGAAACTGTAAGAAAATCACGGCGCCCCACGTTTTTCATCGCTTATAGTAGAGTGATCGCTTGCATTATTGTGATGTATAGCATTTATTTTCTACTTTTTAGTTCAATCAGAAAACGTGGGGTTTTTAAAACTTTTTTAATGATTATTATTTTCTACTTTTTAGTCTTTGTCTGTTTGTTTGCATTAAAATCTTGCTATCGATTTTATCTTTTCACTTTTTTTTGGGGTAAACGAAGACAACTCGTAAAAAACAAGTTGTGTGAATACGTTACTGACTAGAACACATAGATTTGAACCCGTGTCGAGTGGGATAGCAATCGTGTGCCCAACCACTCGACCATATCGTCTCCCCCATACTGGCCACCAGTTGTTACGGTTGTTTGTACACAAACACCGCGTGAACACTACTCAGTAAGCAAAAAGAGGGAGAGTACCGAACCTTGTTTTCATCAAATTACAGTTACTGGGTTATGTCCCTTTTTCCCCAAGTTTTTTGTACAATTATATAGCGGTCTAAAATGATCAATAAAATGTTTCCATGGATCAATTTAGTAATAATAACAATTGAATATTCTATTGTCATTGGAAACAAAGCTTCCCTGAAAATTTCAGCGCGCTAGCTAACTGGGAAGTGCCCGAAATTTCGATCGTAAGATTTGATTGGAAAAACAAACAAGCAAACAAACAGAGGCGAAAGCAAGTTAAAGAAAACGTGGGAAAAAATAGAATACGTGTCTTGGTCGAAATCATGGTGTCCCAACACCAAGGGTGTAGTCACATTCTAGTAATGGTGTACGGGATGCTAAATTAAGTATATACAGAGGCGTCGCGAAGCGGGAGCTGGGGGGGGGTGCGGATCACACCAGGTGATACGATTTCGAGGAGGTGGGGGGGGGGGGGTGATAGCAAGACTAAAAAATTTCAAATTATATAGAAGAAATGATTGATTAGAATAACTATAGAGAAAACAATGCTACATCCAGCTGTATTAATAACTGACAAACGATAAACATCTTTACTATTAATTGTGAGCAGTTTAAAGGGGATGCGGGCGAGATGACACCAACGACAAAATGTACAGAGAAAAAACTTTTAGTTGAATATTTTCAATAACTGATTAGTCTATAAACGACTGGGGTGGGGAGTGACATCATATCAAATAATTTACTATGAAAACGTTGCTTTTTTTAATAAAATGAATGGGTGGATCAAAATAATGTGTGCACAAACTGACGCCATTTGCCATAATGAGAGGGGTGACAACAATTGCAACTATATATATATATATATATATATATATATATATATATATATATATATATATATATATATATATATATATATATATATATATATATATGTGTGTGTGTGTGTGTGTGTGTGTGTGTATTTCAAAACATTTGAAGCTATACATTATTGGACTAAGCTGTTTTTAATTAGTGTAATAGTGGAATACCGCCCAAGAAATGTATCCAGATATAGGCTCCTTTTGGAAGCTTTTGAATTTTTACAAACATCTAGAAGCAAAATTAATTAACTTACTATATATAAATAAACCGGGAGTGATCTCCCCTAAACTTTCTCGAATATTTTTATATAAAATAACAGGGGATGGGAACTCGGGCTATAGACATGATTTTTAATCCATTTTAAATACTTAAAGTTTTAAAAATAGAATAAAATCTCGTAGACAAATTAATTGCACACCAAGTGAACGCGAAATAAAAAAAGCGCATAATAGTGCGCAATATTATTAGTACTTTAAAAATATACATTAGTTTTTTGAGAAATCGGAAGTAGCGTAAATTACTACTTCCGGTCAACGGAAATTACTCAAAATTTAACAGAAGGTAGAGAATTAGATCTTTTACTTACATGTGAAATTTCATTTATCTATCTGAAATAGTACTCAAGTTATAGGCTTTTGAAAAATTCAAAGTAGAAAAAGTACCACTTCCGGTTATCGGAAATCGCTCAAAAGTTGATACGGATCTACGATTTTGATAAAATACTTATATATGAAATTTCATCAACCTAGCAGTAACGGTACTCAAGTTATCGTGTTTACACACGGACACACACACACACACACACACAGACACACAGACATACGGACAAGATTGCAAAATTATGTTTTTCCGTATCAGTGAGATGCAAAACGTCGAGATTTGCAAAAATCTCGATTTTTTTTTTTTTGCACGATTACAAGACTTTCTCTATACTTCGTATATACGAGAAAGTAAAAATGAATCAGAAAAACAATGCGTGAAATGATTTAGTTTAATATGTACTACACGTGTGTATCAAACATCTAGTAGTGTTCTCAATTTATAAATAATAATTTCTTTACTTAAAACATTCGTGAAAACTAGAAAGGTGTATATTAGAGTCAGACAGTTAGTATTGCGTGAGTGCTAATGAAGAAGGTGCATACAAATTTAATATTTCTCATGACACAGAACATAAAAGTATCAATTTATTTACAGTCAAAAATTATAGTAAAATTTAGCTAAACCTACATAACACAATAATAAATGCTGTTGCGTAATTATTGTGAATATGTTTTAATTTTTTTTAATAAAGCGCAGGAGTCTTTTTTTTTCTTATTTTTTTTGACGTCCTAAATGGATAAATCCTTGAAGTTCCTATAAGACTTACATGAAAATATCTGCTAAATATATTGAGACCTGCCCCAGCTGATTGCAATCAAAGAACGAATAGCAGAACATCACGGCTCTTACTGTCACAGAGAAATAACAAGCACACCATTTTTTACTGGATTGGAACAAATCTTTTCTCTGAAGTAATTTATTTTAACAAAAGAGAATTAGCTTATCATATAGCATGTGTATTACTTCTCGTTATCAGACCAAAGGTCAAATGGATTTGCAGAAAGAAAAAAAAAATTGACACTAACAACACTTAGATTATCCGTACAATGTACACAATTTAAGCGAAACTTTCCTTGGTAAAGAGTTATACATACAACTATCTGCAGAGCATTCGAACTTGTAAACGTACGTTTTAAGTGAGCGCATTCGAAATTGTACTAGATCTAAATCTAGTACATTTTAAAGGAGATGCTTCTAAAACATTCGTTATGTTCTGCAAGTTGTTTTTTTTTTTACACTGTCGAAGCTTGATTTCATTATATTTAAACTGTACACGTTTTTAAAATGGCGAGATAGTTCTAAAAGTTGTCAAGACAGGTGGGACTGCCGCTCCCGTCTCCTCACCAGGCTACGCCACTGTTTAACCTATGGGTCATCTATAACTTCACTAGGGGTCATCCATTTATGACGTCCACACACGGGGGGGGGGGGGGGGGGTCCGAAAAAAACTGACTTTTGTGGACGCATATGGACTTCTATAAGGGAAAAAAGTAGATTTTTGTGGGGGGGGGGGGGGGGGGGGGGGGGGGGTAAAATCCAAAAAAAATGTGTGGACGTCATAAATGGATGACCCCCTACACTATGTAGAACCGAAGCATGTTGTCCATCCCTAGACTATATCACAATGGAGATCACACTGCTATTTATTCCCCTGAAGATTGGAGAATTTGTAGTTATGTTATTAAAAACTACGACACTCATTACTGATACAAAGTTATGCGGAGAGACGTGAGGGTAGTGGGGAGTGGGGGGGGGGGGGGGTACGAAATGTGAAGTTATATATGTTTCGTATTTTCTTAAAAATTAAAATAAAAACCATAGACTTTTTTTTCTGTGATTATTTGCGGGACTGGGTGTATACATTTTAACATTAGATTTTTCTTATATATAGGCCTTCATCGTTTCTTATTTTGAGAGCAACTTGGCATCAAAACCATAACATTGGCTGTAACTGACATGTTGAACAAACAGGGGCGAAAACCAAGATTGTCAAAACAACAAACGTGATTTATTGAGGCAGGTTACCTCGATATGTGTCAACGTGTACGTTGATGTATGACTATTATGACAGTGTGTAACTTGATATGTGACAGTGTGTACCTAGGTATGTGACAATATGTACCTTGCTATGTGACTGTGTGTACTTTGATATAAGACAGTCTGTAGTGCCCAGAGCCGGCGTTAGAAATACGCGGGGCCTAGTGCCAACCATCCACGCGGGGCCTGCTTTTTTCCATTATATAAATAGCCTATACATACATACATACATACATACATATATATATATATATATATATATATATATATATATATATATATATATATATATATATATATATATATATATATATATATATATATATATTATACATGCACACATAATAACAGATAAATATTTTGGAGTTAATAAGCTAATGCCTAACTTCTCACTATAAAAACAGATGTTTACCTCTCCCGCGTTTTACCCAATTTTCTTAGTTGCTTTTTTCTTGCAAAGATATTAAATCACTTTTGACATTTATGTAATCCATACCAAAAATCTCCAGGAAATTCAATGACATGCCAAAAAATTAGGACAATAAAGTTGTTTAAATTGTTTGTTGATAACCAATAGTTAATATAAAAGTCAAGCGTTTTATGTGTTTTTAAAAAAGAGACTGTACCGTTAGTAACTTAGTAAGCGCAGAATTTTATTTTAGACAAACTTTAATATCAACAAAACAAGAGTAATTAATTAAAAGTTAAAACATAGAAAAATATAGCTTTTGGACTTTCGAGTACTACTTTACTACTACGTTACTGGATCTCTGACCGTACAAGTTTGTAGAGCGTACAAGTATTACATTACAGGCCATGATCGAGGTCTCACAAGAGAAGAATCGTGACTATAATTAGGGAGAAAACGACGTGACAGCCAAATACACCTTATTTATGAGTTTCCCGACGGCATGTTCGGGCTGCCGTGAATGCCGGTATTTTAGACGTGTGAGAAATCAGGACATTTTACAATAAAGCGAACTCGGCCCGAGGTTTCAAAACAGTATGGACTTCAAAATTTGTTTTGAATCCATACAATATTTTAAACCAAAATCATTATGCTCCTAATTATTGTAAAGGATATCTTACAATAAAAAAATGTGCTTTATTAATGACTATCTCTGCCCTTCAACGATGCCCCTTCCTCCATAAAAATTGTGCGACACGGACAATGCGATGACTATATTATGTCAGCACCATTGAAAACTATTGTAAATAACATTTTGAATGAATTCGGTAAATTAATAATTCTGTTTGGGAACGCATGAATCTTTAAGATGACACAACATAACAACACTTTTACTTTCTTCCAAAAAAATAAATAATAAATCACCCCCCCCCCCCCCCTGCCCCCATGCCCACCAGTGAATGTTAATTTTGTTATACCAAGACAAGTAGATCTACATATACGACACCTACCTACAACAAGAAAGTCAGGACTAGCGTTCACTAACTGTTTACTACAGGCATCCCGTCTGTTCACTACAAAACGTCATCGGCCCGCATACAATAGGGTATCTGATTACGGGGATACAAATTTTCCTCCCTGGTCAGGTCGGGAGCTAATTCTAGTCCACCCATCCCCAGTCACCTCAGGTCAAATGCTAGGCGACCGTACCCTTCACACAGGGAGGTGTGTGACACTATAATTTACGGCCTGTCCCAGTTCAGGTAGGTGATAACTCACTAGCATCAACCGGGGACTCAGTTACAACAATCAACAACGTCGGCATTTGACCATTTAGTTTTTCACAAGTGAATTCAGCAAAAATTATTTAAGTTTACAAACTAATTCAGATAATAGTGACGATGCTGAAGCGCGGGGCCCCTCCAAGCGCGGGGCCTGGGGCGGCCGCCCCGTTCGCCACCCCCAAACGCCGGCTCTGGTAGTGCCCACTTGTTGGTCACCAAAGAACCGCAACTGCGCTAATATAAAATGTAAAACTATTTCTGAATCTAAACTCTAAAGACTAACGAAAACTCGTTTTGGCCAACTTTTTAATTATGAGTAAAATATAACTCCAATTTAATAAGCATGACAAACGTTCTAATTTTTTCAAAATAGTATATTTTTATGATTTAACTGTTTTCATATAATCAAAAAATTGGCTATGTGACAAAATTTTAAAATTATTTTTAGTGCCCTTTAAATATATTCTGTGAGTGATTTCCCTTTGCGCCCCCAAGATGCGTCCTTAACAACAGTCAATTAATCAATGTTTGCTTGTTGTTAGTATTGAGTTATATTCAAGTAAAGAGCTGCGCAGTGCATTAATTTGTCGGAATTATTATTTGTACATGTTACAAGTTTAACAAAAAGCAATATGATTTTATTGTTTAAAGGAAGTGTAATTCAATTCAAATTTAGTGAACAATAATAATTATTTTATTAAACTCTGCTGTCGTTTAGCTTGTGACTGTGTGTATCAGAAAAAAAAATAACTTCAGTGAATTGACCTTTTTCACAGTAGTAGGCTAGATCTAGATTATATTGCGTTGTAGGTATGTTATCAAATTATAATGTCATATTATAGAATATAGATTATGGAATTATAGAGTAATCCTAACTGCTCATATACATATATTTCATATATGAATATATGTATGTAATATGTTTAGTTACTAGTTATTATTATTTAATATTTACGACTATTATTTATTACTATTATAATATTAAATATATTACATTATAATTACCAATTATAGCTAAGAATAAGATTTTAAAACACGCTCTCTAGTTATTTGCCTCTTTTGTGTTAGGAAAAATAAAAAACAATAATGGGTTGCAAACATTCAAGTACAATAAAAGTTCAGCCTTATGATGGTACAACCACAAATCAAAAAAACAAAAGTGACGACAATTTAGAGGAATATGAAATAGATGAGAATGGAAAGAAATTCAGACCGGAAAAGGGAAAAAATAAACACAAATCGCCAACAAAAAAGCAAAACAAATTTGGGTCTTCAAATAGTTTAGATGATGAGAGGTCCATGGATGGGGACCGAGGATTTTCTGCCACATCCAAAGCGTCCGCAGATTCTGGATTAGGAGGAGATGACTATCAATATGGAAAAGACCTTGGAAACATAATAACAGAATACTCTGGGGATGATGCTGTTCGTATGGTTGAAAAAAGTTTTATTGAGAGAGATGATCTAGGTAAGCTGGTAATTGTAATGCTGTTTTAGATATTAATCATTAGAAGTTTATTCTATATTCTACACAATAGCTTTGATGTTGAGTTGCTAAGAACTGGTTGTGGATGGGAAGGGTAAAATAAAGTAAACATGTGTACATCCTAAAAATTTTTTAAAAATTAATGTTTTTTTTAACATTAATTTCTTTCTCAATTATTGACTGAGCTTGTTTCTATTACAATTTACAAAAAGTTTTTAAAAACGCAAAATAATGGCTAAAATTTAGTTTCTAACATTATTTTTTGAAAAAAGAGCAAGTGTGACATCACTCTTTTTGCTTCCCCCCCCCCCCCCCCTCCCCTCACCACAGATCATCTCAAAACTACAAACCCCCTCCCCCTGCAATTTTATAAATGACCTCTTAGATGTTAGAAGCAATCTAATGATTAATTTATAAGCTGACTTATGATAATCTTTATTTTCTACATTAAATATGTGATCAGTTTATACAAACTGTTAAAACACCAACAAAAATATTTGTTTTCCATTAAAAAATAGATCTAGGTATTACTGGGGTTCAGCTTCCTACCAGACTTACTGTGAAAGAAAATCCAAGACAGGATGCTTCTGAAATTTTAAAGTCATTACAAGAGGAAGGATTTATTGCTAAGTAAGTCATCATAATCTGAAAAGTGATAACATGCAAATAAAACTTTGAACATTAGATAGTATAAAAAAACAATTATTTATTTCACAAATTTACATAATTACAATTGTTGATTTCATTTGTATTTTAAAAAATGTTGAGAAAACATTGAAAATGATTGACTATATGTCATTAAAAAATAATATGGTTGTGTTTTTTTCAGACCCACAACGCAATCCTCTGGGGGAGTTAGCTTTGAAATAGTCTCTGAAAGCTCCTTTAATGCTGTGGGATTACCGAGACTCCCACCTCGACAACTGGAGAAGCTTGAACAGAGAAGAAAGAAAAAGAGAGTCTTGACTGAAGATGAAATTATGGATAAACTAGAGAGAGCAGAAAGAAGAAGAAAGGTATGTAGCTCAAGTTGAAAATGCACAGCAGGGTGAAATGATTTGTGGGTATCCGCAGACAAAAAAATCTAAAAATATTTTTTTCATAAAATTTTTTAGTCAAAAACAATATAAGGTAAGTGTGCAGGCAAGTACCTTGTCTATTATCATCCCCACATTCCCCTTCCCCCACCCCAATCTCCTGACTCCCATAAAACCCACAGCTACAAATGACGTAAGAGATCCTTGGTGCAATCAGAATTTAGTGGTAGCTCTCACCACAGGATCCCCAGATAAAAGCACAAACTCAAGTGATCACTGACTTGAAACCAAACAGACTATCTGAATAATTAAGTACAAAGTACGAGAGAATTACTCCCAGTAAGTCCTTATTGATTATTGCATCAATCAGTATTGATTTCAACCTACATGCAGCTTATTGATTTTCTAAGTACAAGGCTGGCTGTTATATTCCTTTCAAGCAAAGCTTGCACCTTATTTATAAAATAATTTCTTTTCTAAAAAGATGTCTTTTTTAAAAATATGTATTTTTTCAAAAGTTAGTAAAATAAGCTTGTAGTAAAATAATGTCTATTTAACATTTTGTTAATTAAAGTAAACTTATTAATTTTAAATAAAATTCAAATCAGAGGCGTATCCAGGTTTTTGTTGTAGGGGGAGCGAAAAGAGCAAAAAAAGGCGCCGAATTTTTAACACGTTCTATATACGCGTATATATATATATATATATATATATATATATATATATATATATATATATATATATATATATATATATAATTACTAGCTGTATGTCATTACTTTGCTATGATGTAAAATAAATTGAAAGTAGCACTCTGAAGAATTAAGAAAAAACACACAATGTAGGCCGACAAAACAAAAATTGTATCAATCTAAACAAAAAGAAATATACACACGACTACAACCAAAACCAATGAACGTAAAACAATCTGTTTTGTAATTCTTGTAAAAAAAAATTCTTATATAATAATTCCTGGGAAATTATTTATGACAAGTGAAATAGGGGAAATAATCACTCTCTTAATATAAATATGTATATATCTACACATTTAATTAAAAATGTCAAAACAAATAAATAATTACATTAGAATATAATGAAATTGTTTAACACTATTCGCGTTTACAAAATGTTTTTGTCTGTAATCAGAATTTAATATATCGTCATCATAAATGCTAAAGTATTACAGCATAATGAAAGTTTTAAAAATCAGAGTTGGTATAAAACCACGCTTTTCGATTTTATAGAACATCATTCGGTATAACAGCCTACATTTAATTAAATATTGGTCTATTAGTTCAGATCATATATTTTTAAATTAACTACTGCTTCTTTGTGTTCTTTAAAGATCATTTTTTAACATAGTGATAGGTATGGGTTGATCACTATATTGATCACACACCTTTTTACTGGTAATTTCAAAAACAATATTCACAGAGTTTTACGTTTAAAAAGCTAATTTCCTGGCGGCATGGTACTTTGGTACATCATTACGCGTTTTTCTACATGTACTTAACAGATCAAGGCCTAGGGGCCCAATGCAAATAGGGGCCTTTTTTCGAAAGTCTGAGGGGGGGGATGCAAATCGAAATTTTGTCCCCGGTCGCCGGGAAGGGTCGCTACGCCTCTGAGGGGCCCACTAACACTTTTTGCATATGGGCCCAAAAATTCTAGCTACGCCACTGCTTAAACTTAACACCCCTCTTGCCAAGTGGTACTACCCGTAGAGGTTTTTAAGCATTGCAATGCATCGTAATGGTTATTTTTAGAATGGCAAACTGATGCAGCTGTTAATACGTGTTGTAAACGTAGACACTACTAGACTAGTACGATAATGCTTAATTGCTGCATGAAATATTATTGTTTAAAACTTTGAGTTTAAAAAGTTTCCAAAAAGGCGCCAAATTGCTGAAAATGGCCAGAGGGGGAGCGGCCGCTCCCCCTGCTCCCCCCCTGCGTACGCTACTGATTCAAATACTGATATTATTTTTTAAGTAAGAGTTGGTCTTGAAAGAAATAAATGAAAAATGTTTTCTTCATTACATTTATGTTTTATTATCCACTATTCTGTCTAAAAATAGATTAAGATATCTTAATCATTTAACCCAAATTTTTTATTCACTATTCTATCTAAAGATAAATTAAAATATCTTAATTATTTAACCACATTTTTTCTTTTACAAAACAATCTAGATTAAGATACCTTAATTATTTACCCCAATTTTTTTTTTACAAAACAATCTTTAAAAAATTATATGTATGTTGTTGCTTGTTACTTTTTAGATCTATATAAAATGATATAAACACAAACATTTTATCTACAGAAACGAGAAAGTGAAAGGTTGAACAAGATAAAAGCTTTGGAGAAGTCAGATGCGGTGTCAGCCTTGGAAAACTATGAACAGCACATGAAGGAGAAGGAAGAGCAACAAAACCAAAAGATGGATGTTGTAGCTGACAACAGGGAAAAGAGATTGAATGAGATCAGAGAGAAAATAAAGGAAAGGGAAAGAAGAGCAGAAGAGGTAAGAAAAAGAAAACAGAAAGCTCTGGAAGAAGGTTTAATCACAAACAATATCATTGGTCAGAATGAAGAAGACAATTTAGAGAAAACAAGTGAATAAGAGAAAAATAGTGTTGTATTTCGTTAATGAATTTAGTTTTTGTTAAGCTCTGTAATTTAAATTCTACACATTTCTGGTAAGATGAAAAAATGTAAAACAATGTCATTACATTCATCATTTCTGTCCTTAATTTAATGACTTTTACTGTTTGATATTTCAATTTATCAAAAAGGTTAGTGACATAAAAAATTGTATAGAGTTTTGTTATCGAATGTACGATTTCTAATTTATCATATTTGCAGTGCAAATTATTCTATACTTTTTTTTACAAAGTTCTGATGTAAATAAAGGAAGATTATTCATATTTTTTAAAAATACCCAAATGTCTTCACCAGATAGTTCAATATTTAACAATGTTAAAAAATGAAATGAAAATAATGCTTTAGTCTCGAGGTAATTATGTTTTTTTAAATAAAGATTTTATTTTTATAAAAAAAAACAACTAAAAATATGTCTACAATATTTGACAAATCATGTTGGAAATGGATTCAACTATTTAACTTTGCTTTTTTACCTAAAGAGGTTTTATTTGTTTTTATTTGCTAAAAAGGTTTTTGTTACATAATTAATATCAAACACTTAAAAGAAAATTACCTTAAGGTTGTGAAAATAAAAATGCAATTTTATTAAGTACTTTTTAAAATTAACGGCATTAGTCAATGGTATTTAAATTTGTAATATTCACATTAGGTTAGAGCTAACACTATATAATAATTTAAGACATTTTTCTTAATGTACTTTTTCATGTTTTGCTGGTCGTTTAGGTTTGAATTGTATCACATTTGTTTGAACAAATTCATTTTGTGTAAAATGTGTCAGTTTAATGTAAATATATTCTATTCAGTATTATAACAGAAAGGCAATAACGACTATCTTCACTTCAGAGAGCATCAGTATTTTTAAAGGATTGGGTTCTATGTCCTTTTTTTGCACCATACTGTTATAATCTCAGATGTTGATCTCAGCACTCTACAGCAACTATATTTGTTTAGAGTTATCCCCTCCCTTGCTCTAACAGGGGAATAACTATAACTATTTCGAGCAATGCTCTTCATCCAGCCTAATACTTACTAATAGCAACTGGATGAAAAATGGAGCATTTCTCACATACATATTGGCAGCCACTAGACTCATATTTACTTACTTTCGTGAGTAGGTGGTTTTGGATATGTGGTCATTAAGTTGAGATCACAAATTGTCAACTCGTGACTTTTGGGCAAGCTGACATTTTGTGTTAACAATCACAGGATCTACCTCTGGACCACAATTGCTGACTTTTCCTCCCTAGTAATTATCATTTGTCCATTTCTCAGCTAAGCATTAAAAATGTTTTATTCAAATTTTTAAAAATCCATTTTTTTTCCCTTGACGTTTTTTTTTCACTAAAGTTAAAATAAGTTTCATGTATGTTTGTGAATTTCTAAGAAATTTGTCAGCCTGGGCAGTATTGTAACTAAAAATTCTGTGATCTCTACTGGCATCAGTATTATGGTAAAAAAAAAGATTTTAAAAAAGTCATTGAAATCTGACCTGTATCATTAGTTTCAGGATCTTGTCATCTCCTGTACATGTGTGATTATCCTTTATAAATTATTGCCAGAATGTTTGCACATGACTTACACAATAAAATTATAAATTTCACACCTGATTTTAGTATTATTAAATATTTCTTCACAATTTTACAACTATCGTGAACAAAAAAAGTGGGTAAGTTGAACTTAACAATTGTACTCTTTAGTCCTCTAATAACTGGGCATAAATTAAACTGGGCATAGCAGGTAAATGAAAAAAATTAGAGTGTTAAACTACTAGGAAGTTATAGTTAAAGACTATTAGTTGAAACATTTTTTTTTAAAAAAAGGCAGGATAGATTTTATACTTAACTGGAAAAAAAAACAACCAATATTTTGTAGTTTTATATCATTTTAATTAATTAAATTGGCAAATGGAATGGCTACATGATGGGAATGAAATTACATATTGCAAGATATCAACTTGTCAAGTCTTATTGTACAAATAAAATGAAAAATATTCCATTTCTACAACACATTGTTTGCGGATCTAAAATATTTAGACAAAAAATTGTTGTGTTATGGAAGAGTGCCTGTTAATAATTAAAAAAAAAAAGTGATTCACAACAGAAATTGGTCACATTTCAATAATGTACAAAAAATTACATTTTTGCAAGAAAATTGTTCATAAGGCAACTGAGCATAATAAGAACAATTTTAAAATGAATTAATATTAAGAAATAATGCTGGAAAACAAACTTAAGTACAAAAAAAATTATATGAACACACAAAGAAACAGCAGGAAAAATCAAATTGTTTTTACAGTTTAGAAAAGTGATTGATTAAAAAAAAATTAAATTTACTAAGTTGTAGTAACATTAGAATGTTAATTAAACAAATGTGTTTAATTTTTAGCAGCAGTAAAAATGTCTACAAACTACTAAACCAAGTGTACCACAGCAAAAATTCCATTTAAAAAAATGTAACCAAATACCTACCTCCAAAAACTATTGCCATTTACAAGTTTATAAGGCACAGAAAGCAACAAAAGCCTTGATAGTTTTATAACATGAAACAGAATTCGTAAAAAGGTTTATATATTTTTAAATAACATGAGTAAAAAGTTCAATCTTTAAACAAAATCAGTAAAGAAATTTCTACAAAAATTAGAATTAGAGCCAAGTTTAAACAAGTCTCATATTACCGATTGGTAATATGAAATTTGGTCAAAGCTACAATAAGTAAAAAAAAAATTCAAAATACATACACAAAAAACTCCAGTAATTTTTTTTTAAATGGTAAATTTAAATTGCTTACAGTAAATAAAGTGACCAGATTTAGCATTCCTTTTCTGGTTACTCAACTTAATAACCAACATATTTGTATCTACTGTAGAGTACCCTGGGGTATTTTATACAAATTCTGGAAAAGCATTTCGTACAAAAATTTTACAACTAAATGTAGAGCTACATTAAAAAAAAATGAAATAATATTTAAACAGACACAAGGAATGATAAGTAAATTACAGTCAACATACAAGTAGAAATATAAAAGTTAATATAACAGATGTAAATATTGTTAGAAAGTAATTATTAAGAGTTGAATCCCTTCATGATTCCAAAGGTATTACATTTTCTTAAAATAGATCAATACAAATTTAGTGATATAAAACAGTACAAGTCTAGCTTGAAAATAAATCTAAATATGGTAAAAGAAAATGTAATCTTGAATCACTTTAAATTAGATCATATTATACCAATTACAGTTTCATTGATTTTAAATTGGAACTCTGGATTTTAAATTTGCAGTCAGATATTTAAAACGAATGTACACAGTATAAAAATTTATTAAACCCTTACCCATGCTTGTATCATTCATTAAAGAAAATGGTAAAGAACTATTTAAAAACTACAAGAATACATTAGTTCCCTATAAATCAGATCTATTCAAATTTTGCACATTAATCAAGAGAGGGTTAATAATTATAGACTATTTATGTTTGGGGAACTAGTAAAAATATTACAAACAAAAGTAAACAATGACTACACAGGTTGCTTAGTGGCTTTTTTATCTCTCTATATATAATTTGTTATTTGTTACAAATACAGATTGCTGCAGGGGTTCTCTCTATATAATTTGTTATTGGTTGCAAGGAATCTAATAAGGAATGCATGAGGTTTCTAACAACAACAGCTGCATTTCCCAGTACAAATAAATGCTTGCTGAAGATCACATAATATTTGTGTAGGTTTACAATCAAATGATACTATTTTACCTATAATTCGTTAGTCAGACAAAATATTTGTATTGTTTTACCTAATATTTACTTTAAAATATTTAACTTTTTAAATTGGCCCTCTCACAACTGCTGAGTTTATTTTAAGTGTGTTTTTTTTAATCTAAAAGAATTCTGTGGTTTTTTTTAAGTTCAGCGCATTATGCATATAGAGTATAACTCTTAGAAATGGAAAGGAAAGACCCACTTAAAAGGAAAGACAATTACATGAAAGTTGTGTAGACCCACTAAAAGGGAAAGACAACTACATGACAGTTGTATAGCCCTACTGAGAGGGAAAGACAACTACATGAAAGCTGTATAAACCCACTGAAAGGCACAGTAAAAAAAAAAGGCAACACCACCAGATAGGTGTGATCACAAGCAGTTTGTCATGTTCTAGTCTAACATTTTTTTTTCAGTCACATAACAGTGGGCTCAACATAAACATTTATGACACACATTATTGCATGGGTATGGACAGTTGAAAAGTTAAAAGGGATGAGTTCACTAATTTTGGGGGAAGGTAAGTCAACCTAGGGGAAGAGAAGACAACTTAGTGTAGAAAAATATAACTGAGGGGAGAAAAAGACAATTTACAGGAGGAAAAGATAATTTATTGGATGAGTGAACAAATTTAGGGGAAGAGAAGAGAACTTCAGGGAGGAGCATGAAAATAAATGAAAGAAGAAAACACTTATGGATGGATCAACTAATTTTAGGGAAAGTGCAAGAAAAATTAAACCTTATAAGACTGGCCAATTTTTGCTTATCATAATTTATGGGTATCAGTTTAACATTTTACAATTTTAAGAACTTCAATACAAAACTAAGTACGTTTATTTATACAGTTCTTATAATACTCCAAATTTTTAAATTTTAACTTGATTTTAAAAAAAAAGACTACTGCTAAGGGAAATATGATACTGTCTTACAATAAATATAACAATATAACATATTATTAACATTATATATTTTGTTTAAGATATGCATAGCATTGTGTTTTGTAAACTAAAAAAACTATAAAAATTTCATATTGTAAGTTTCTATTTTTTTTTAAATGAATTATATCTCTCAATTTGAAGCTGTAGTCAAGAATTGTCTTCAACAAAATGTACAACATAAAAATAAACCTCTCTTTTTCACTAATGAAACGGGGTCCATTACATTTCATCCATGTCCCTGTAATTAGGCTCAATGCTAATGAAGTAATCATCAAAGAAGTTATGAAGACTTTCAAAGGTGGGTCTCTCCTCTGGGCTACGGTGCCAGCACTTGAGCATCATGTTGAAGTACGAGTCCGGCACTTCTATGGGGCCATTTGTTGGTTTACTCATTCTTCTCCCCTTCTCAACCATTTGTAGAACTTCAGAGCCAGCCATGCCTGTAGAACAATGGTTTAAAAGTCAATTAATTAAAGCCAGCCATGCCTGTAGAACAATAGTTTAAAAGTTAATTAATTAAAGCCAGCCATGCCTGTAGAATAATGGTTTAAAAGTTGCTTTAATTAAAGCCAGCCATGCCTGTAGAACAATGATTTAAAAGTTAATTAATTAAAGCCAGCCATGCCTGTAGAACAATGGTTTAAAAGTTAATTAACTAAAGCCAGCCATGCCTGCAGACAAAAATGTTCAAAAGCTAACTAATTAAAAAAAATTAACCCTTCAATATTAAGTACTGAACAGCTAATTAATAATAACTCGTGTGCATAAATTATTGAAGAGTTAATTAATGGATCTTATGAATTTTTTTTTGGGGAGCCAATTAGACAATGCACATGCTTAAGAAGGACGCTGGCAATAGAGCCAGGCAGGCTTTGGAGGAGGCCGAAAGGATAAGAAGGAATTGGAAGCTTTGACAGAGACAATATGTTCCGCAAGTAACCAAAAGGAAATATAATGATGAATTAGACAATAATTATAATGCCCAAATTAAAACTATTGAACAGCAAATTAGATGACTGAGGATTAAATTAGGTTTTAACAATCAATACTATATATTGGGAGGGACGGAGTGGTCTAGCGGTAGAGAGCTGGACTGCTAACCCGTTAGTCTCGATTTCAAATCCCCAGGTTCAAGTCAGTAGACCGTCCCTGAGTCCACCCAACTCTGATGGGTACCTAACTCATGCTAGGGAAAGTAAAGGCGGCTGGGCATAGTGCTGACCACACTATCTCTTCATATGCCGAGGTCACAGAAACAAATGAACTCTACTTCACTTGCCCCATAGAACGTCAGGTTTGAAAGGGAAACTTTACTTTTTTTACTATATATTGGGAGAAAAACAACTAAAATTAATGCTACTTCTATGTAACAACCATAATGGGAAAAACTTTTAAGAAGATGAAATTTTGACAATACAAATTAACACTACAAAATACAAAACCGTAAACAATCCTCTCAATTGTAGCAAAATTGTTTCTAAAAAAAATTTTTTTTACTTAAAAGCTTATACTAAATGTCAATATAAAAATACCAGAAATTCATGTTCAAAAAACTTACCTGGATAGGGAACTTTTCCATAGGTTATGATTTCATACATGAGGACACCAAATGACCACACATCAGACTTGATGGTGAATTTTCTCTCTAGCGCTGCCTCTGGTGCTGTCCATTTGATGGGGAACTTTGTATCTGAAAAGTACATAGACTTTGTGTAGGTACATTACATTGGGACGTTAGTAAAGTAATATAGAATTGCATTAAAACACCCCAAGACATCCAATCCATCTTTTTAATAAGTTAGGGTTTTTTATTTAGTTTTTACCAGGTACAAATTTTTAAATTTATGATCATTAAATAGTTTACGAAACAATTAAAACTAATTTTAAATGTATTTAATAATTTATAATTGTCTTATCCATTATTCTACAATAGGGGTCTCCAAACTACGGCCCGCGGGCCGGATACGGCCCGCGAGGATCTTTTTTTCATGGAAAAAAATGTTTGTTAGAGGTGGCTGTGGAACTTTGCAAAGAAAATTCAAAACAATTTGAAAATGTAGCTTTGGGTGCAAATACCATTGCCCACCGTGTTGCAGACATTGGTGAAAACACTGTGACCCGAATAGCGAAAAATGCAAGCAAGTTTCGCCAATTTATAATTGCAATGGATGAGTCGCTGGACAGCTGTTCCACCACTCAACTGCTTGTGTTTTGTGTTCATTAGAGGTGTGGATGAAGACATGAACATAACACAAGAGCTGGCCCCCGACAATGTTTCTTTCATAATTTATTTTCTCCTCTTGGGTGGGGGGGGGGGGGGGGTGGACTTGAAATGTGTATATACTCTCTATATAAACTATATTTCGTTGGGGGGGAGGGGGGTTGACATTCTTCAGGGGGGGGGGGCTCCGCCATCTCAAAGAGATGCCTGGAAGAAACCGGCCCCCGAACTGATATTTGAGAGTTGATGCGGCCCTCAGGCTGAAAAGTTTGGAGACCCCTGTTCTACAACATGACATAACCAAGGACAATTTTTTTAACCACAAATAGGCCGACATCAATTTAAATTTTTTACAAAATACAGCATTTTTTTTCAAAAATAATACAGGTTTTTTTATTAGTTATTTGTCTGTTATTATACATTGCGTGTTTTGAATTTAAATTTTAAAAAATTAAAAAATCTGTTTCGGGATATAGGTATTGCCTTGATAGCAATCTGCAAAGGAAATAAAATTTTAGATTCTTACTTTCATTAGCTTCATATACATTGTCTTCATTTTCTAAGATGCGAGCAAGACCAAAGTCTGCAACCTTCACATCATAGTGTTCCCCAACAAGGATGTTAGCTGCTCTAAGATCACGGTGGACAAAATTTACACTTTCTAAATATGCCATACCTTCGGCTATCTGCAAACAAACAAAACATTTATATTAATTTTTCATGGTAGTCACATTAAATTATGAAAATCAAGCAAAAAGACAGATCGTATTTTTGTAGTAAATAAACAAAAGAACTAGACATAATTTATCAACAAGAAATTAAATAAAAACTAAAAGTGTTAAAAATAACAATTTACCTTAACCTAAAAATTAATCTGTTAAATATCATGGACTGTAACTATGAAAAATAGCATGACTTGAATAATTTCATCAGCACATGATAATTATTTTACACTACATTTTAATCTCTAGTTTACCTGGGAGTTCATTTCTATAAGTACATTAAACTTGAGTTTCTTCCCTTGATCTGAGCGAAGAAAGTCTAACAGAGCGCCATTGACCATGAGCTCTGTGATGATGTAAAATGGTTCTGAACTTGATACCACAGCCAACAGCTAAAAACAAAAAATACAACTTTAATTAATGCTGTAATTGTGTAAAAATGGTTCTGAACTTTATACTACAGCCAGCAGCTAAAAACAAAAAATACAGATTTAATTAGCGCTGTGATGATGTAAAATGGTTCTGAATTTAATATCACAGCATACAGCTAAAAAAAAAAATAGACTAAATCATTACATTTTATTCAACCATTGAACTGTGTTTGACAAAATTTTTGTTTAGATTGCGGCCTTACCTGTACAAGTTTTTGATGTGTCAGTTTATGCATAATTTTGGCTTCGTTCAGGAAAGCTTCAGGTGTCATTGTGCCAGGCTTTAAGGTCTTCACAGCCACATCTACCACCCTCCTCAAAGCACCTGGGAAATAAAAAGATATTTTACTCTAGATTGAATACTCTCACAGGTGTACAGACGTTACTGGCTCAAGCCAGGGGTTAAGGATGGAGCATTTCTCTCACCCATGTTACAAAATGATAGATGGGTTTCTGCTAGGCTTCTGTTTCTTCTCCAAGTGCATCGCACCACCAGGTTTGGACATGTAGGTCTGTTCAGTGAGGGGAGGACCTACAATCTCAATCCCCACGGTTACTTAAAACCCTACAGGTTAGCAACTGCACGTTCTACTGCTAGCCATCCCCACAATTTAATACTAGACATGTTCGCCCATAAACAAAATAAATTCACTTTTTAAACAAAATAAATTAATTTTTTAAACAAAGTAAATTTATTTTTTAAACAAAGTAAATTTATTTTTTAAACAAAATAAATTCATTTTTTAAACAAAATAAATTCATTTTTTAAACAAAATAAATTCATTTTTAAACAAAATAAATTTATTTTTTTAAACAAAAAAATTTATTTTTCTTAATTTAAAAAAAAAAATTAATTAAAAACCCAGCTCCGAAGTGATATCGAAAGTCAACTCACCTTTCCATACTTCACCAAAACAACCTGCCCCAAGTTTTGTGGTCAGTTTTATTGCCTCTCTTGGGATCTCCAACTCTCTGAACTGGACAACAGGTCTAATACGTGGACAGGCCACAGTTAGCTTACAGCATAGCCCATCAGAGTTATCTGGGGATGTCATGTGGATTGCATCATTGGCTACAGTGGAATGTAAGTTAGATATTCTACAGTGGAATGTAAGTTAGATATTCTACAGTGGGATGTAAGTTAGATATTCTACAGTGGAATGTAAGTATTGTAAGTTAGATATTCTACAGTGGAATGTTAGTTAGATATTCTACAGTGGAATGTAAGTCAGATATTCTACAGTGGAATGTAAGTTAGATATTCTACAGTGGAATGTAAGTTAGATATTCTACAGTGGAATGTAAGTATTGTAAGTTAGATATTCTTCAGTGGAATGTTAGTTAGATATTCTACAGTGGAATGTAAGTCAGATATTCTACAGTGGAATGTAAGTTAGATATTCTACAGTGGAATGTAAGTTAGATATTCTACAGTGGGATGTAAGTTAGATATTCTACAAGTCAGATAGACTATGGTACAGTTTTATGTGAGCCATGTAAACTAAAGTAGCATAGAAGTCCATTCAGTCATACATGTATAGCATTAAACTGTGTAATTACTAAACTACAGAAATGGAACCAATGCTCACCTCTGTAGTGATTAATCACATCAAAGAGACTTTTAAAAGTTTTTTTGGCACTAATAAAGAAACCTCCGTCATCCATTTTACGTATACGATAGTGTTTGACGCAGGGATCACCATTGGCCTTGTCACTGTCACGTACAGATAACACATAGGAAGATTTGTCTGGAATTTGAAAAAAATCAGTTTAAATTCACTTGAACATTGCATATATACCATGTACACCATTGTGTACATGTGCATCAATATTATTAAGGCATGCTGAATTGATACTTATCTATATTAGATAGCTTTCAATTAATGAAATCATATTGTGATTAAGACATGGAAATTATTTAAATGAAGCAATTTTAAATTACCTGTGGCTTCTCTAACCAAGAATGTGCCCTGAGCATTTCCTGGTAACAACAGCATTTTGTCTGATTCTTTTCTGTCATACTCAAACCACCAGCTATAAGAGATTCAAGTTCTATTAGAAGACTTTGATACATTTGGATATCTTAAATCATGCACCTATTAAATAATGGTATGCTGTATAATTTATTACCATATAGGCTAATTTCAGGGATGTATTGAAAATTACCAATTATGTTATTTATTTTATGAGGGAATGGATCATTTCCTTCCCGTAGTACTTACTCTTGAGTCTGAGGTGATGTGTCATCTTTTATAACATAATTACTGGGGATGTAGCCGCGCTTGTTTGTCTTACAGTGGACAGCCAGCCACCAGTCATCTGTTTCAGATCTGTCAAGAAAATTTATTTTATTCAAATGTTTGTTTTACTAGGTAGGGTCTTTACAGTTAAAATAAACTAAAGAAAAAAGATGAAATTTTTGGATGTGCTCATAAAATTTTAAATAAATCAAAGATGCAACAGCGTATCCCTTACGTGGCTTCATCAACTTCCATAACATCCCCTTTTTTAAATGACAAATCATCTTCATTGATGGCTTCGAAGTTGTAAAGTGCTCGGACTAGTGAGATAAAAGTTGTAAAAATAGTTTAATAAACATTCAAGCAATAGTACAAAACTGTAGAGCTTATACAGAGTGCTTAAGTATTTCATTTTAAGAAGTAGCATAGACCTATATAATGTGCTTAACTTTAATTAGTCAAAAGAAAAAAAAATTAAATCTTTAAATAATCATAAAAAAATGGTAAATAGGTGTCTCAACATAAGAATTATTTATACAAGTAAAAGGAAGATAAAAATATGCAGATACCTCTATTTTTAGATGGAACACCTGGTAGAGGACGAACCCTCGACGTGTCTGTGCTTGAGTCTGCTCGCTCGACAACTATGGACTGGTTGACAGAAGAGTTGTTAGGGTCGGGCGCGTACCTGACTTCTGCACCATTGGGTTTTTTCCCAACAGATGGACACAGGTTACCCATGGCGTGGGGCTTCTACAGTGGACGCAGGCCTGAAACATTAGACACACAGGCCATGGGTCAAGCTGTTGGATAACATATCAATAGTCCATCTAATACAAAATATATAAATTTGTCTGGGTATTAAAAAACATATCACTGGTCAAGCCATTACATAAGCTTATCATTTGTTCAGCTATAGCTTAACATATTGACTCAGCTATTATATATTACTGGTCAAGCTATTACATAACACATAACTGGTCCAGCAATTAAGTAAATAGATTGTTAGTCGGCATATATAATTGCAGATTCTTAACCTCAATATAAACAAACAAATTGTAAGCCCAGATTTTACATAAACATTGTAAGTGAAGATATTACATGAACAGATTGTGTCCAGATATTACAGAAACAGATTGTGTCCAGATATTACAGAAACAGATTGTGTCCAGATATTACATGAACAGATTGTGCCCAGATATTACATGAACAGATTGTGCCCAGATATTACATAAACAGATTGTGTCCAGATATTACATGAACAGATTGTGTCCAGATATTACATGAACAGATTGTGTCCAGATATTACAGAAACAGATTGTGTCCAGATATTACATGAACAGATTGTGCCCAGATATTACATAAACAGATTGTGTCCAGATATTACATGAACAGATTGTGTCCAGATATTACATGAACAGATTGTGTCCAGATATTACATGAACAGATTGTGTCCAGATATTACAGAAACAGATTGTGTCCAGATATTACATAAACAGATTGTGTCCAGATATTACATAAACAGATTGTGTCCAGATATTACAGAAACAGATTGTGTCCAGATATTACAGAAACAGATTGTGTCCAGATATTACATGAACAGATTGTGTCCAGATATTACATGAACAGATTGTGTCCAGATATTACAGAAACAGATTGTGTCCAGATATTACATGAACAGATTGTGCCCAGATATTACATAAACAGATTGTGTCCAGATATTACATGAACAGATTGTGTCCAGATATTACATGAACAGATTGTGTCCAGATATTACATAAACAGATTGTGTCCAGATATTACATAAACAGATTGTGTCCAGATATTACATGAACAGATTGTGTCCAGATATTACAGAAACAGATTGTGTCCAGATATTACATAAACAGATTGTGTCCAGATATTACATAAACAGATTGTGTCCAGATATTACAGAAACAGATTGTGTCCAGATATTACAGAAACAGATTGTGTCCAGATATTACAGAAACAGATTGTGCCCAGATATTACATGAACAGATTGTGTCCAGATATTACAGAAACAGATTGTGTCCAGATATTACAGAAACAGATTGTGTCCAGATATTACAGAAACAGATTGTGTCCAGATATTACAGAAACAGATTGTGTCCAGATATTACATGAACAGATTGTGCCCAGATATTACATGAACAGATTGTGCCCAGATATTACATAAACAGATTGTGTCCAGATATTACATGAACAGATTGTGTCCAGATATTACAGAAACAGATTGTGTCCAGATATTACATGAACAGATTGTGCCCAGATATTACATAAACAGATTGTGTCCAGATATTACATGAACAGATTGTGTCCAGATATTACATGAACAGATTGTGTCCAGATATTACAGAAACAGATTGTGTCCAGATATTACATGAACAGATTGTGTCCAGATATTACTTGAACAGATTGTGCCCAGATATTACAGAAACAGATTGTGTCCAGATATTACATAAACAGATTGTGTCCAGATATTACATAAACAGATTGTGTCCAGATATTACATGAACAGATTGTGCCCAGATATTACATAAACAGATTGTGTCAAGATATTACATGAACAGATTGTGTCCAGATATTACAGAAACAGATTGTGTCCAGATATTACTTGAACAGATTGTGTCCAGATATTACATGAACAGATTGTGTCCAGATATTACATGAACAGATTGTGTCCAGATATTACAGAAACAGATTGTGTCCAGATATTACATGAACAGATTGTGTCCAGATATTACATGAACAGATTGTGTCCAGATATTACAGAAACAGATTGTGTCCAGATATTACATGAACAGATTGTGTCCAGATATTACATGAACAGATTGTGTCCAGATATTACAGAAACAGATTGTGTCCAGATATTACAGAAACAGATTGTGTCCAGATATTACAGAAACAGATTGTGTCCAGATATTACATGAACAGATTGTGTCCAGATATTACTTGAACAGATTGTGTCCAGATATTACAGAAACAGATTGTGTCCAGATATTACATGAACAGATTGTGTCCAGATATTACAGAAACAGATTGTGTCCAGATATTACATGAACAGATTGTGTCCAGATATTACAGAAACAGATTGTGTCCAGATATTACAGAAACAGATTGTGTCCAGATATTACAGAAACAGATTGCGTCCAGATATTACAGAACAGATTGTGTCCAGATATTACATAAACAGATTGTGTCCAGATATTACAGAAACAGATTGTGTCCAGATATTACAGAAACAGATTGTGTCCAGATATTACATGAACAGATTGTGTCCAGATATTACAGAAACAGATTGTGTCCAGATATTACATAAACAGATTGTGTCCAGATATTACAGAAACAGATTGTGTCCAGATATTACAGAAACAGATTGTGTCCAGATATTACAGAAACAGATTGTGTCCAGATATTACAGAAACAGATTGTGTCCAGATATTACAGAAACAGATTGTGTCCAGATATTACAGAAACAGATTGTGTCCAGATATTACATGAACAGATTGTGTCCAGATATTACAGAAACAGATTGTGTCCAGATATTACAGAAAAAGATTTTAGTCCAGATATTACTTGAACAGATTGTGTCCAGATATTACATGAACAGATTGTGTCCAGATATTACATGAACAGATTGTGTCCAGATATTACATGAACAGATTGTGTCCAGATATTACAGAAACAGATTGTGTCCAGATATTACATGAACAGATTGTGTCCAGATATTACAGAAACAGACAGTACATCCTGTTATTACATAAACAGATTGCAAGCCCAGATATTATAGTTACAGACAGTACAGTTAAAACCATGATGGCCTGTACTAATGAGAAACTAAAGCTAGCACTGCAGTTGGCACTTCCTCATTAGCCGTGTGCTCTGATAGTTGAGCGGCTCACACAGACTGCAGACACTCAGCCAACACTGAGGACCCTACTTACATCTAATGGGATATTGTAAGTGCTCTGACGTCATCTACAGGTTGGATGGTTCAGGACACTGCGAAAACGTCACTACAGCTTTATGTTGGTTAGTCAGCGGTACAACAAAACATCACTGCTTATTATGTCTGGTATGAACTTACGTAAAGCCTAACTTTAAAGAAATTCACTATTCATAATCCAGTCTATTTTTAGAAGAAAAGTATGTCATGTAACTAACTTCCCTCCTTAGTGTTCATGAATAAGGTTTAAATGTCAAGCAAGCACTCTGTAACTTCCTTCTTTAAGTCTTTTATCTATTACTTGGCACAGTATAAATACAAAATAAAAAGTGGGCTACATAAATATAATATAATATCTCAAAAGTTAAATATCACTATCAGTATAACAGTGTTTTATATGACTTAAATACTTTGTTGGAGGTATAATAGAAGCCAAACACAGCAAAGTATAATTTAATTTTCTTTTCTTGTGGTTAAGTTTAGTTAGGGTTCATTTGGGGTGAGATATTAAAACCTGCAATACTGATAAGGGGCATCAAATTCTGTACTTTGTATCTACCTGCCCAGGTAAGTATCCTAAATCCAGGCCTGTAAAGTACTCTAAAACACTGCCTGTACAAGAAAGTATCCGAAGTAGATTTAGTAGTATTCCTATGTTAAGAAATGAAAATTCTGAAATGTAATTTACTTTGTTTTGTTATTTTCTGATGCCTTTGGTTGGCCCACTTCTGTCAGTTCTTGTTTTTTACTTCACAGATGATAGGTAGATAACAACTTGATAGCAACTACTAACATTTACATGCATGATGTCATTCAAGAAATCTAAAACTGTTTAACTATCACCTACTGTTACTATTCTGTTACATGATGACCAAGAACAATAGCTTTAACTCTACCCTAACTGGTATTTTCTTCAGATAAAAATTAGCCCTAATACTAGGCTAATACCTAGTCATCAAGAATATATTAAAAACTTTGATCATTTGATATTTAGCGGTAGCCTAGCCTTGGCCTATTATTAATCCACTAGCTTAATTCTACGAAACAAAACATTGCATAATAAATATATGGTGACTCCAGTCCATAACAGAAATAAGTACAGCTAATCAGAGCTGATAGCAAAGCAACAATATCTAAAACTAGTACAAGATTCTAGGCCTAGTACAATAGGATGAGCGCTCTCTGGCCAGAGAAAACAAATAAACAATCCTAGTTAACACTTGAAGATGAAAAAAACAACACAGAGTTCAGGAGCCTTCTTAAAAGTTCTTATGTTGAGAGATGCCCAACACCAACAGTGATTCTAAAACTGGGGATCCTCGATTGTCCACAGTTACCAGCCCAAATACATTCGTTGCAGGTAAAAAAAATAATTAAAAACATGAAGACATACAGTTGATACAGCTAAACTATAACTGAAAGTCTTGATGGTAAAACTTTTCCAGGATAAATGCCCATTGGTTGGGTAAAAATGTGACCCCTGAACTCATAACTTTGAGAAGCACTGGCACACGATAAAAACTTCACCACTGTGCGACAGCAGATAATACTCCGTCAGCCGGTTGTGACCATGCGATACGCGGGTCCGACGAGGAAGTAAAAACACGGTCTGTACACAAGGAGGAAGTGTATAGCACGCGTGTCGTGTGTTTGGCCGTGTGTGTTGGGGAGGGGGGCTGTACATTACTGGAACAATCGGCGGGATGGGGGTGTGGTCATCAGATCGGTTGTTGGACATGCAAGCCGTGACGTGAACAAAGATTTTTTTTTGTGTCGAAGTTAACTGAAATAACTGGGATGAAATTTTGTACCGCAGCGTCAGCTGTTTCAAACCCGAAGGTTTGAGAACAAATTGGTTAGTTCCTAAACCAATAATTTATTCAAGCTACGGTGAGTATGGGAGAAGGCGGGCCGCGTAAAATGGAAAACAAGCAACTAATTAATACTATAGACACTATGGGTTATGCAATTAGTATATACATATATATCTATATATATAAAGCAAAGTGGTCGGGTGCCCGATAGGGCACTTCCCGGCGCCGCAGGCGCGTCAAATTTGGCACGAAGGTGCCTTATGGCGATAGAACACGAGGGCCGGTGACGGTTCGGCAAAAAGTCTACGGACAGGGGGTCAAAACTGACCTCGACTGACCGGCGCCTTATATGGGCTATATTACGAAAAAAAAATTCCTCCGACGACCCCCCTTGAAATTTTGTGAGGTGGTAGGAGAACACCTTGGGGTGTCACAAAAAACTCGGCATATCTGGGAAAACTTCGTAAAGGGGTCAAAACTGACCAGTTGTATTTCCCTATATAATCTTTGTATTTTATGGGAAAAACAGAGGGTCATTTCAACGCAGACTTTAGGGTACTTAAGCTCAGTATATCTGGCTAATTTTTTGCATGCTCCTAGGTCAATGGCTTGACCTTTAGGGAAAACTGTCGGTTACACTCAAAGCCCTCGACGAGGGCTAAAAAGTGACCGCGAGTGAAATTCTCTTTATATGAGCTCTATTACGAAAAAAAAATTCCTCCGACGACCCCCCTTGAAATTTTGTGAGGTGGTAGGAGAACACCTTGGGGTGTCACAAAAAACTCGGCATATCTGGGAAAACTTCGTAAAGGGGTCAAAACTGACCAGTTGTATTTCCCTATATAATCTTTGTATTTTATGGGAAAAACAGAGGGTCATTTCAACGCAGACTTTAGGGTACTTAAGCTCAGTATATCTGGCTAATTTTTTGCATGCTCCTAGGTCAATGGCTTGACCTTTAGGGAAAACTGTCGGTTACACTCAAAGCCCTCGACGAGGGCTAAAAAGTGACCGCCAGTTAAATTCTCTTTATATGAGCTCTATTACGAAAAAAAAATTCCTCCGACGACCCCCCTTGAAATTTTGTGAGGTGGTAGGAGAACACATTGGGGTGTCACAAAAAACTCGGCATATCTGGGAAAACTTCGTAAAGGGGTCAAAATTGACCAGTCGTATTTCCCTATATAATCTTTGTATTTTATGGGAAAAACAGAGGGTCATTTCAACGCAGACTTTAGGGTACTTAAGCTCAGTATATCTGGCTAATTTTTTGCATGCTCCTAGGTCAATGGCTTGACCTTTAGGGAAAACTGTCGGTTACACTCAAAGCCCTCGACGAGGGCTAAAAAGTGACCGCGAGTGAAATTCTCTTTATATAAGCTCTATTACGAAAAAAAAATTCCTCCGACGACCCCCCTTGAAATTTTGTGAGGTGGTAGGAGAACACCTTGGGGTGTCACAAAAAACTCGGCATATCTGGGAAAACTTCGTAAAGGGGTCAAAACTGACCAGTTGTATTTCCCTATATAATCTTTGTATTTTATGGGAAAAACAGAGGGTCATTTCAACGCAGACTTTAGGATACTTAAGCTCAGTATATCTGGCTAATTTTTTGCATGCTCCTAGGTCAATGGCTTGACCTTTAGGGAAAACTGTCGGTTACACTCAAAGCCCTCGACGAGGGCTAAAAAGTGACCGCGAGTGAAATTCTCTTTATATGAGCTCTATTACGAAAAAAAATTTCCTCCGACGACCCCCCTTGATATTTTGTGAGGTGGTAGAAGAACACCTTGGGGTGTCACAAAAAACTCGCCATGTTCGGGAAAAATCGGGAAATGGGTCAAAACTGACCAGTCGTATTTCCCTATATAATCTTTGTATTTTATGGGGAAAACAGAGGGTCATTTCAAAACGGATTTTATGGCACTTACGCTCTTTACATCTGGCTCAGTTTTGGCATGCTTATAGGTAAATGGCTTGACCTTTAGGGAAATCTGTCGGTTACACTCAAAGCCCTCGACGAGGGCTAAAAAGTGACCGCGAGTGAAATTCTCTTTATATGAGCTCTATTACGAAAAAAAAATTCCTCCGACGACCCCCCTTGATATTTTGTGAGGTGGTAGGAGAACGCCTTGGGGTGTCACAAAAAACTCGCCATGTCCGGGAAAAATCGGGAAATGGGTCAAAACTGACCAGTCGTATTTCCCTATATAATCTTTGTATTTTATGGGGAAAACAGAGGGTCATTTCAAAACGGATTTTATGGCACTTACGCTCTTTACATCTGGCTCAGTTTTGGCATGCTTATAGGTAAATGGCTTGACCTTTAGGGAAATCTGTCGGTTACACTCAAAGCCCTCGACGAGGGCTAAAAAGTGACCGCGAGTGAAATTCTCTTTATATGAGCTCTATTACGAAAAAAAAATTCCTCCGACGACCCCCCCTTGATATTTTGTGAGGTGGTAGGAGAACGCCTTGGGGTGTCACAAAAAACTCGCCATGTCCGGGAAAAATCGGGAAATGGGTCAAAACTGACCAGTCGTATTTCCCTATATAATCTTTGTATTTTATGGGGAAAACAAAGGGTCATTTCAACGCAGACTTTAGGATACTTAAGCTCAGTATATCTGCCTAATTTTTTGCATGCTCCTAGGTCAATGGCTTGACCTTTAGGGAAAACTGTCGGTTACACTCAAAGCCCTCGACGAGGGCTAAAAAGTGACCGCGAGTGAAATTCTCTTTATATGAGCTCTATTACGAAAAAAAAATTCCTCCGACGACCCCCCTTGATATTTTGTGAGGTGGTAGAAGAACACCTAGGGGTGTCACAAAAAACTCGGCATATCTGGGAAAACTTCGTAAAGCGGTCAAAACTGACCAGTTGTATTTCCCTATAAAATCTTTGTATTTTATGGGAAAAACAGAGGGTCATTTCAACGCAGACTTTAGGGTACTTAAGCTCAGTATATCTGCCTAATTTTTTGCATGCTCCTAGGTCAATGGCTTGACTTTTAGGGAAAACTGTCGGTTACACTCAAAGCCCTCGACGAGGGCTAAAAAGTGACCGCGAGTGAAATTCTCTTTATATGAGCTCTATTACGAAAAAAAAATTCCTCCGACGACCCCCCTTGATATTTTGTGAGGTGGTAGGAGAACGCCTTGGGGTGTCACAAAAAACTCGCCATGTCCGGGAAAAATCGGGAAATGGGTCAAAACTGACCAGTCGTATTTCCCTATATAATCTTTGTATTTTATGGGGAAAACAGAGGGTCATTTCAAAACGGATTTTATGGCACTTACGCTCTTTACATCTGGCTCAGTTTTGGCATGCTCCTAGGTCAATGGCTTGACCTTTAGGGAAAACTGTCGGTTACACTCAAAGCCCTCGACGAGGGCTAAAAAGTGACCGCCAGTTAAATTCTCTTTATATGAGCTCTATTACGAAAAAAAATTTCCTCCGACGACCCCCCTTGATATTTTGTGAGGTGGTAGAAGAACACCTAGGGGTGTCACAAAAAACTCGGCATATCTGGGAAAACTTCGTAAAGCGGTCAAAACTGACCAGTTGTATTTCCCTATAAAATCTTTGTATTTTATGGGAAAAACAGAGGGTCATTTCAACGCAGACTTTAGGGTACTTAAGCTCCGTATATCTGCCTAATTTTTTGCATGCTCCTAGGTCAATGGCTTGACTTTTAGGGAAAACTGTCGGTTACACTCAAAGCCCTCGACGAGGGCTAAAAAGTGACCGCGAGTGAAATTCTCTTTATATGAGCTCTATTACGAAAAAAAATTTCCTCCGACGACCCCCCTTGATATTTTGTGAGGTGGTAGAAGAACACCTTGGGGTGTCACAAAAAACTCGGCATATCTGGGAAAACTTCGTAAAGGGGTCAAAACTGACCAGTTGTATTTCCCTATATAATCTTTGTATTTTATGGGAAAAACAGAGGGTCATTTCAACGCAGACTTTAGGGTACTTAAGCTCAGTATATCTGGCTAATTTTTTGCATGCTCCTAGGTCAATGGCTTGACCTTTAGGGAAAACTGTCGGTTACACTCAAAGCCCTCGACGAGGGCTAAAAACTGACCGCGAGTGAAATTCTCTTTATATGAGCTCTATTACGAAAAAAAATTTCCTCCGACGACCCCCCTTGATATTTTGTGAGGTGGTAGGAGAACGCCTTGGGGTGTCACAAAAAACTCGCCATGTCCGGGAAAAATCGGGAAATGGGTCAAAACTGACCAGTCGTATTTCCCTATATAATCTTTGTATTTTATGGGGAAAACAGAGGGTCATTTCAAAACGGATTTTATGGCACTTACGCTCTTTACATCTGGCTCAGTTTTGGCATGCTCCTAGGTCAATGGCTTGACCTT